AACGTTAGCCGACTGCCGTTGGGCCAACGTTGGCACGCTGAGCAAAAAGACGTTGGATCAACGTTGGCTGTTTGACGTTGGGCCAACGTTGGCAATATGACGTTGGGCCAACGTTAGCCGACTGCCGTTGGGCCAACGTTGGCACGCTGAGCAAAAAGACGTTGGATCAACGTGGGCTGTCTGACGTAGGGCCAACGTTGACAATATGACGTTGGGCCAACGTTGGCTGACTACCATTGGGCCAACGTCGGGCCAATGTTGGGCCCAACGTTGGCACGCTGAGCAAAAAGACGTTGGATCAACGTTGGCTGTTTGACGTTGGGCCAACGTTGGCAATATGACGTTGGGCCAACGTTGGGCCCAACGTCTGCACGCTGAGCAAAAAGACGTTGGATCAACGTTGGCCCAACGTTAGCATGAGCTGAAGACAGCCGTTGGCCCAACGTCAGCATGTTATCTGGGAATCTAATAGTTCCAAATTAAACATACCGATCATAAATACTTACAGCAAATACATTTGCATTCTGCTTTACAGCTTTTTGAGTTTGAACTATTTCACTCACCAAGATATTTTTACTTTCGAAAAATAAAAATGGCGACCATTTTACCCGCCATCTATCGACCACATTTCAGAACTAAAAATTTGTTTTCTTAATTAAAATACAATGTTACCATATAGGCCTCTATATAATATAATATTATATATGTATCCGTTAGTAAAAAATATATAACTGTGTATAGGCGTTGATTATAGGCGGTAGAATCAAGGTCCTATATATAGGCTCTCTTGGGTGATTCTCCAACTAGGCGGTAAGCAAACTCCACGACAGATGGCGCTCTCACTCTCGCTCAATTCACAATTGTCTGGATCCGGATCTGGATCTGGATAGTTTACTGCGTAGCCCACAAGCACTTCAATAAAATATAATGCTAAATAAATACGAAATATATTTACTACCAAAGAGAAAATATTTATTTTCGCATCAAAAATTACTCATCATCATTATCAAGAGTTTATAATGGGAGATATGCTATATAATGGGAGTTCTCCCATATATACTCTTGCTTTATATATACCCCCTCCCTCTTCTATCACACCCAAGGTGAGCTACAGTGTCACTGACACTTTCATTTGCTATACGTCAGCACACATTCGTCAATACATAGTCACACCATGTATTCTCATTCTCTTGACTGATTTGTAGGAGAGCCTATATAGGATCTTGATTCTACCTGTGATGAGGCGGTCTTCGAAGCAAAACACGTGATCGTAACTTCAGCACTAGACAGGGGAGAAATCTCACGCATGTGAAGCACGATGGAATACGTGACAATTCATTCCGGGAAAAAAACCCATATAAGTGCGATCTGTGTGATATCGCCTTCACCTGTCTGAGTGCTGTGAAGACACACATGAGAACTCACACGGGAGAGAAACCATATTATGATATAAGTGCGATCTGTGTGATGCTGCCTTCTCACGTCTGAGTAATGTGAAGACAGACATGAGAATTCACACGGGAGAGAAACCGTATAAGTGCGATCTGTGTGATGCTGCCTTCTCACGTCTAATATTATTATAATATTATAATATTATATGTATATGTATACAATAATACAGTTACATTTAAACTGAATGCAGAAAATTCCGAACATTCGAACACGGGACACACACATAACTCATTTTGATCAAGGATATACACAACACATGTGTTGTTGTGTATATCCTTGCTTTGATCAATTAACATCCGAACGCCGACACAGTATTAATTGTGCTTGAATATGAATTTAATTTGAGTTGCAGTTTGCTCTCTAATTTTAAATATTATCTACTAATATATTATATACTAACATAATATCATTTGTGTAATAATGACTGTAATAAAGTGGCTGTAAATAAAAGTTGAGTTGCTGTGTTTACTTTCTAATTTGATACATTACTATCTTACTACTTTCTATGATACATTATCTGTTTCTAATCTATTATATATAACAAGTAACTAGTATAACTAGTCATAACTGTAACTGTAATAATAAGAGATCAGATAAAAACTATTGTAAGTTGTTGTCAATACCGTATAAATAGGCAATATTTTCATGAACTGAGTGAACAAATTTTTTAACTAAACGTTTTCTCAAACGAAATTTGCCATTAAAGTATAAATAACACGGTAACACTAACTCCACGGTAATTTCAGACCGGTGCAATCTCAGACCGTGACACCGGCAAGTTGCAACGGCTCGTCGCGGATAAGCGCGTTCAGGTGCGGGCTTTGTAGGCAAACACGATATAGGCACATAATAGGCACATAGTATTTTCCGGGGCTCTTTTTGGAATTTCGGGGGCTAAAACGCCCCGAGCCCCCGTGTATTTTTTTCACTGGCACATACATATACACATAATAGGCACGCTGCTTACCGGTTGTGTCGAGCTGTCGCGGATAGGTACGGCAGTCTTGCGTTAACGATTCCGCGTGGACAGCATGCTTACCGGCACAGCGAAGCTCTCAGTAACTAAGATTTTATGGGGAACCACTCTGATCGTATTCCTTTTCTTTCTGTGGACGATCTTATCTGAAAATTTGCTTCAGTCTAGTGAGGCAAACGAAGTGCAAACTGTGGATCCAGCATCCCCGTGTAAAGATGGCTCGGTGCCGGACTGCGCTTTCTCTCCATTCTCCCACCAATTCAAAGCCCAGCAAACGCACAGTAAATTGCACTCGGATGAAGATGTGAAGCCTCTAAGCGAGAAATATGGACAGGAAGCGACGGAGAAACATGAACATGTTTCTCGCGTGCTATCTACGCTTAAAACGATTACAGACGCGCGTGTCGCGATGGAACAGAAGAATGAAAGCAGATCTACAAGGGGCCATACATTGAAAGAATTCGTTTTAAATTACCAGTAACCATCCACCCATCTCCATGTGCATGTTATTGACACACACGATAGCCAGCCTAAATAATGCAACCACAAAACATCGCTTGAGCTTTAGTGCACAAGCTGCGGGCACTCCGATTGGTCGGCCGATGACGCGTCACATCCTCTAACCTAACAGGGTAATGAACCGGTAGTGATTTAATAGTGGTCATGTGTCATATGCGTACCGTGTTATCCGGTTTCAAAATAGGCAGAATGGGTGCTGCCCACTCAGCAGAAACCACCGGCTGAATGATATGTTTGCCTCGATTAGGTGGTCTGGTTCCTGATCAATCTTGGGCTTCATCAGATATGGCACAGTCCTAGACTTACAGAAGACTGGAGTTGCCTCCAACTTCACATGAATTGAAGCGGTCACATTCTTCATCGTGCCAAGTTAATCACAAAACAGCTCGGGGTACCAAGAGCTCGGGCTCGAGTCAGCTCGGTTTGGCTGCTTCTCCTTTAGCAGGTGGATTCAGGGGCGGATCCAGAGGGTTTGGGTGACCAGTTTCCATAGTTCTAGTTATAGCTAGGGGGTCCGGGGGCATGCTCCCCTGTAAATTTAAAAAAAATTAGGCTATATTTGGTGCATTCTGGTGAATTTTGAGGGTAAATTCTGAAGATACCCAGCCTGTGACCGGTTTCTGGAAACCGGTGCAAACCGGCCTAAATCCGCGCCTGGGTGGATTGTCTGCTAATCCAGTTGTAGAGTGCGTAGCCAGTTTCTCCCCATGAGAGTAGCGCCCCCTCCAGGGACCACCAACGGCAAGGTTGCTCGCTGGCTGTTGTGCTGGACAGAAGCCTGGAACTCATTGCAGGTTCGTACTGGCTCACCAGTATAAGTTCGAAGCTTGACTGTGCTTGGCTGTAGTCTAGCCTTGTTCCGGCCAAATGTATTCTGATATGTGTTTTCCCCTATGAGCGAGAATGAGGCATCTGTATCAACTTCCATCGGTAACATTTGGCCATTCACCTTGACTTGAATGATGATCGGAGGCTCTGCACGAGTGCTGCTCACTGTATAGACTGAGTAAAGCTCCTCCGAAGCAGCAGATGATGGCATCGTCTCAACCATGTTCATCTGATTTCCCTGCTTGGAGCAACACACCTGCGAGATGTTTCCTGTCTTGCCGCAGCTAAAACAGGTTTCACTCTTGTAACGGCAGCTATTCGGTTGATGCATATCCCCGCAGTGGTAGCATTTCGAGTGGAATGGCGTTTTCCCTTCTGTTGCCTGAGCAAGTTTACGCAGGCCGGGGCGCATCCCGGTACTGCTGCGTTGCCCAGTACTACTCTGTTTCCTAGTCGAGTTAGTACTACTGTGGTGTCCAGGGTTTGGACCAGTCCAAATTTTGTTGAGAGCAGTGGGGTGAGCAGACTTCTGAATATCCTGGGCATTCTTGCTCGCCAGCTCCATCGCTATCGCAATTTCTAGGGCTTGCTTTAAATCAAGTTGCTTCTCAGATAACAACCAATGCTGGATTCCCTCACTCTTTACCCACGATCACTAACCTATCCCGCAGCATCTTGTCCAGGGTATCGTCAAAGCTACAGTCTTTGGACAGTCTCCTCAGCTCTGCCATGAACCCCGAAATCGATTCAGATGCTCCTTGTACCCTGGTGTGAAATTTAAACCGTTCCACTATCTCGGCAGGCTTTGGCGAAAGGTGTTCCTTCATCACGTCAATTTACTCCTCATAGAGCTTGGTGGCTGGGTTATCCGGCGAGCACAAATTCTGCAGGAGCCTGTAAATAGTACAGCCCGTTTCTTTAACGCAGATATATTATTTGCAATGAAGAAATTTTCGAATCTTTCAATATAATGGTTCCAGTCCTCATCATTCGCCGGGTTAAATGCCTCCATCAGTCTTATAGTGGCCATAGCTAGTTTTATCCTCGTCGCCAATGTAATAACTGGTAACAGCTGATAATGTAAAACCAGTCCCGACAGCAGGGAAAGCCACGTCAACACTCGAGAGCTAGTGCTTCCCCCTATAAACAATAGCCACGGCGTGATTGGTTGAGTCGGTCGAGTTAACCTCATCCCATGTCACGCTACCACACAAAGCCTGACGAAATTCTCGCGTTCACTCCCGTTGCGCATTTTATGTAAATGGCTGCAAGTACAGGGCTATAGGCGGCGCACTGCATTTTGGGAAACTACCACGCTGCTTTCCAACTCCCGTACGAGCCTCGTCAAAGCCGCCTGTTAGAGCGTTGCAAAACCGTTGCAGCGTTGCGGCGCAAACATGAGGTCACGAAGAGTGCCGGTGGGTGTTTCCTGATACATGCGTTTAAACAAAGGAATTGTTCCGACCTGTGATTGGAGGATAAAAATAGACCCCGCCCACTCCCGCCGCATACGCTATGCTATGACGGGTAGGAACGTGTACTAACTATCATATGGAGCGAACGATTTGAGTCATTTCTATAAATTCTAGCTATTATAGACACATGTCTTAGCCTTAATCTTTGTGAATTTTGAGTCTATTGAAGTGCGATTAGTCTAATTAATGAGCAAATATGCACGCGCGGCTATGACCGGTGAAACGATACGTCACGAATTCTATTTTTATCCTCCAAAAATGGAAAAGTGGGTGGGGTCTATTTTTATCCTCCAGTCACAGGTCGGAGCAATTCCTCTGTTTAGACGCATGTTTCCTGATTCTGACAGTCATTTACATAAACTGCGCAACGGGAGTGAACGCGAGAATTTCGTCAGGCTCTGTGTGATTTCGCGTGACATAGCTCGGTTACGAACACAGACAGTATGTTTTTATGACAAGTGAACACTGTCCTTCAAATAGAAACAAAGATGGAGTAGAATGGTGGAATATTTGTGTTGATGCATGACGTTGGGCCAACGTTGGCGAATGGTTGGAATGGTCACGGTTGGCAAATGGTTGGCTGCATGACGGCATGGTCACGGTTGGCAAATGGTTGGCTGCATGACGTTGGGCCAACGTTGACGTATGGTCGGCATGGTCACGGTTGGCAAGTGG